TGTGTTTTGGTTCTATTGGCAGCAAGCTTTTAAAGCTCTAAATCTTTTTGGTCCTGTGAAAGGTTTTAGATTGTGACAAAATAGTTATACCCTATTCTATTCCAAAGCTTGTACTATCAGGAAAGGTCAGTCTCCAGAGCCACCATGGCAACCATGGCACCTAAAAATGTCTTTGTGACTGCTGTGAGCAAAACGTGTTGCAGAGTTGAATTTACCTCTGACTCTTTCAGTGTCTTGGTGTTCTTGGTAATTGCTCTGGGCTTTTCTTCCTTTTCCCTGAAATTCCACTGAGAGTAAATGGGAGATTGAGGCTTTTTTGTGAATATAATTTACCTAAATGTCAGGCCTATTTTGAGAGTGTTGTATTTACTTAGCTGTGCTTTGAAAAAGAAGGGGACGGGGGGAAGCAGAACTAAGATGTTTCTTCAGTGCATATTCTCTGCCTCTTTCTATGTTCAGATACATAAGCAAGGTAAGGTCGTCTTGCTGTCCCTTCAGAAAGTGTTACAATACTGACACCTGAATACTGGTGGACACATCTTGTGTTTTCAATCTGAAAGTGGTGTTTTCCTGAATGCTAATGCTGGGAGAGCCTTAGTATTTCCTGCTGCTGCTCTGGTATTTCTGGTTGCTATGGAAAAAACCTGTGGTCCACCTTGGTAATACATAAAAGCAGTATTTCCTCAGGCAGGATGAGCATCTGTGAGGTGTTGTGCTGAAACTGCAGAGGGCTTAACCCAAAGCATTTAAGTATGAATAAAACTTGTGTTTCTTACTCTCATTTCAGCAATGATGTAGACATGGAAACAGATCACTACTCCAATGGGGTTGCTGAGACTTCATCCAATGGCTTCCTAAATGGTAGTTCTAAACATGATCACGAAATGGAAGAATGTGACACAGAAATGGGTCTGCAGTGATATTTCTTACATTTTTATTAAGTGATGGCAACAAGGTTATGTTTTTACTTGCAATGCTTCCCAACTTGAAAATTAAGGATATTAGCTGAAACCTTAATTTCTGTTGTTGTTGTTGTTCTGCTATGATGTGTACATCTCATAACTGTAGCCAGTCTGTTGGCAGTGTGGGAGCAGGGGGAAGGGGTGACTTGTGGATAGGCCAACTAGTATTGGTTTCTAAGGAAATACTCTTGAGAAGATGTTCTTTAGCCTGCTTTATATTGTCATGCCTGTTGTTGTTGCTGGCAAATGTAACATTTAAGTGCCCTCTGACAGCACAGCTTAAAAAGATGCCATTTACTCTGGCAGTTATGGCACACACTGTCCCTGTCCAGTAGTGCAGAAAGCACACAGGCTACAGTCTGGCTGTGGTTATTACTGCCATTTGCATCTTGAGAAACAGAAGAGACCAGCCCAGCCACTTGTGCTCTTGCAGAACTGTATTCTCAAGCAATCAATTTACACAGATACCAATTAATACGTGATCCACGTGAAGTATGAAGCTCAGGACATCACTGGTAAACTTCTGAAATGCAGTATTGCTAACAGATACCTACAAAAGCTCCACGGTTCCAAGGGCAAGTGCAGTTGCTGACCATGCAGCTTTGCTGGTGGATACTGCATAACTGTTCAAAAGCAAATAGAAATCGTGCAGTTTGAGAAGTTTGCTGCAGCTTTTTGAAGCATTTACATATTCTCTTTAGTGCTGTGTGTGACATACAAAATAGGCAGATCTTACCAGAGCTGACACTCTTCTGAGGAAAAAAGTGTACTGTTGATTTTATTTTTAAAACAGTGTTTGAAATTGTGGTGGAAGATATATCACTACATAGCAATGCTGAGATGGGAAGGATGAATGGCTTTGTGATCTGTACATCAAGATCTGGTTTAAAAACTTGATGAAGTATAGCAAGGAAAGGATGAATTCTTTAGCTGGAATGTGTGGCTGTAAATTTAAGAAAGGCAACGCTTTCACAGAAGCTAAAGGGTGTTTTGCTACTAAAAAAATTGCATTAGTACGTGCTTAAAACTAAGTAGTGTTTTGGAATACTGTACAAAATAGCAAAGAAGGCAGTTGTAGCATTCCACTTGATGACAAAATAAGCCTGAAAGCCAGTATGTTCTGCAAGGACTGTGTACATTCATAACAGTAGCATTAAAGCCATTGGAGGATTTCTGGGAAGTTTTGGTTCTGTTGTGCAGTGCTTGTGTGTTTTTCACTCCGATTTAGTGGTTCAGGATCTGGCATATCTTTCTGAGTGCAGTGCTGAAGAGTTAATAAGATAGCTAGAAATGCATGGTTGTTTTTTTGTTTTTTTTTTAATTGGTGTTCTTATAAAATTTTAGGGTACAACTCAGTTGGTAATCTAGGAAGTTAAAATAAACCACTGCAACATTAAGAGCACAGGCAGGCAGCCTTTGCAGCTGGCTGAATCCCCTTAAGTTAACGTTAAGGACCTGTTTAACAGCAGCATAGGCGTGCACTGTGCTGGGATTTGTGGCCCTCCATGCTTCCCTCCTGAGAAGGCAGATGATTAAAGTGAAATCAGTGCATTCCCCAGATCCATAGGTTTTAATTTTCGCTCTGGTGGTGGTGATGATGACGATATCGTTTTTGCAGAAGTAGATTCAAGTCAGTTAAGGCGTCAACTGTGTGGTGGGAGCCAAGCAGCTATTGAAAGAATGATCCATTTTGGAAGAGAATTGCAAGCGATGAGTGAACAACTAAGAAGAGAATGTGGCAAAAACACAGCAAATAAGAAAATGCTCAAGGTATGCTTTGTCTTGGAATTGCTGCTAAGGTGGACAACTGCATTGCCCACTTCTCACAGCATGCTGCATAACAACGTTTTGCTTAAACTTCTGTGATTTCACTGTGGTTTCTTTTGGTCTGAGTGTATTCCAGTCAACTGTGGTGTGGTACCATCTCCTGTCTTGTTCAAGTAGCACATTCATGGAGAAAACAACTTCATATTGTAAAACAGTTAAAAGCAGAGATGAATTTAGTGTGTCCCCTTATCTCACTTCTAACCATGCTTGGACACTGGAATCATAGGTACTATTTCTAGCAAGAATTGGTAGAGGCCAGAAACATGCTCTGTGTGCAGGCAGTTGGCTGTGTTTTGAGACTGCTCCGAGTCACGAGTCAAAATGTGTTAAGAAAAGGTGCAGGTTTTCACTGGTGTAATGCAGCTGTGATGTAATAATCTTCCTGCAGGATGCGTTCAGTTTACTTGCGTATTCAGATCCGTGGAGCAGCCCTGTTGGAAATCAGCTTGACCCAATTCAGAGAGAACCTGTGTGCTCTGTACTCAATAGTGCAATACTAGGTAAGGCTTGGTGGGTTCTGCACTTTCAGGGAAGCAGGGTAGCACACCGCTGCTCACTGTACGCTGTTTGCTGGGTCTAGCTTTGAGGTGGCTGAGTGATGAACAAAGCTTACTGCTATTGAATGCCCTGTGAGCAGAAGGGAGTTTTGGGGGTGTGTAGATGCACTGCTTACTCGTTTTTATTAGTTCAAAGCAAAAGTGGCTTGCTCAGTAATAGAGCTCTGCAGAGAATTTTAAAGTGTGCCTGTGTTGTTCCTGCTCTGTTTTGCCATGAGAGTAAGCTTTGGAAGGAAGTATGTGGATTTTGAGTTTTCTAGTACAAGAAAACAGTGAAACCAAGTGAGATGTTTTAACTGCTGCTGTTAATCTTCCAGAGACTCACAATCTGCCAAAGCAACCACCGCTTGCCCTGGCAATGGGACAAGCATCACAGTGTCTGGGATTGATGGCTCGATCGGGAATTGGATCCTGTGCTTTTGCCACAGTGGAAGACTACCTACACTAGCTATGCATTTGAAGATCTGTGAAATGGTGTGGTGTATTCACTATGGAAAGTAGACCAGCTCTGCTGACTGGAATTTGGAATTTTAATTATGTACTAAGGACAAGTCTGTCGCTTTATGTTGCTTCCTAGTTTACAGCATGATGCAAACGATTTCTAACTTAGTGTTAGAGAATTTCCATCTTTAAACCTCTTAGACAACTAAGAGTGGAAAATATCACCGATAATGTCAGACATCCAAATTGACAAATACAAATCCTCTCAACGATTGTCTAAAACAAACCAAAAATCCTGCTGCCTTGTGGTGGGACAGAAGAGCAGAAACGTGGACGTATCAGCACGTGGGTGATGTATGTGTCAAGCAGGATGACTTGCCAACGGCCACCCCCATTGTTACATAGTTCAATCAATGTAATTTGCAAAATGCATATACACCTGATGGTTTGGATATAGTGTTGATGGGAAGAAATGATATTTTTTAATGTGTACTGTAAAACTTGAATTACTCAGGAGCTGAGTGAATATGTTTGTTGCTACTTACAATCCCAACCTGTTGATCTTAGTAGTTTTTGTTTTAACATGGTCTTTTCAACTTTGTTTCCTTGTTTAACTACAGACAGCTTCTGTTGTGTAGACTCACCAGTTTAACTGTTGTATTATAACAGTATTACATGTCAACACAGTGTGGTTATGACCTATTTATATAAAAACCAAATATTTAGTCAATTTACAGTCTTAATTTAATCTTTGTACACCTTGCATTTTTAAAAGTGCTTAAATAGTACTATATTGCAATAAAATGTAGTGATACCATAATTAACCAGTCATTAAAAACTTACTTCTACATACGTGGTAGCATGGGCTTGTATGCTACATTTTCTTTGTTCTAGTTTTATCCTAGAACGGTGCTTCACTGCTGGACCCTACGATACCAACTCCCTTGTCAGAGCTGCTGAAAATTAAAGGGTGTGTTCTTACCATGAGCTAGCACTGCTAAGTCAAGGCAGCAAGTTGAACACTCCCTGAAGGTAGGGGGAAAAGAAAGAATAAATTACATTCCTCGAAAGTAATCAAGCCTGGCTAGAAGCGGCCCTGCTGTGTGAAGTGATGTAAGGACTCTAATACTAGCCTACAGCCTCTCCCAAGTGATGTGGGTACTGAAAAGGCAGGAATAATAGATGGTTTTAGGAAGCACAGCATCCACAAGAGTAAGTATGAAATCATTCATCTTTATTCTTTGCAGTTGAGCTGCCTCATGGAATAAAGTCCAGCTCTGTGAGATGAGCCCCTTCAGAGCCCCTGGAGGATATGCCATCATGACTGTGACCAGCAGTGTGTCAGCTTCCCTAACAACTTCTGCCAGGGGAGGTAAGAATGCAGAGGGCAACCAGGACTGCTTTGTGAAACTGTCCATTGCCTGAAGCTGAAAGAGAGGAGTAATGATGGAGAAGGGGGTGGAGGGTATATGGCACCTGTTCACCTGTTACGTGTAAGTGAGGAGAAATTAACTCTCAGTACATGTCCACTGATTGCATCTTCTGAAAAAGCTGTCTTCAAAGTGTACTTGTCACCTTTCTTGCCACCCAGTATTTTGTGAACTTTGTTGCTCTTTGCTTTTTTTCTAGCCCTTAAACAAAACAAAACAAAACAAAACCAGTAAGCCTATAAGCACGTTCTTAGCTCAGCTGTGTGACTAGCAGCAATTCATTCCATTACTGCAGCATTTCAAGCTTGGGCAGAAGCACAAAAGGGAAAGCTGATAACTTCCTCTTAGTCATGTTTCATAGAGAACAGAAGGCTTCCACTGGCACATGCTGGTGCCACTGGCCAGCCTCCTGCAGGATGGGGTGCAGTAGTGCTTTCACTTTTAAAGCACAAGTGGAAAAAGCAAATTGATATCTAATCTTTCTTGACCATAGAATCAAGCTAGTTTGGAAGGGGGCAAGGTTTCCATCCACGAGCTCAGGCTGCCCAGGATCCCATCCAACCTGGCCTTGAACATGTCCAGAGATGGGCAGCCACAGGTTTGAGCAGCCTGTGCCAGTGCCTCACCACAGCGAGCAAATAATTATTTAGTCTAAACTTCATCTTTTCTTAGTTTAAAGCCATTCTCCCTTGTCCTATCACTACAATGGGATACCAGACCTATGATCCACACAGAATCATTCTGTGGCTGAGCGGCAGCGTAGGGCTAGAACTGATGTTAAGTCTGTTTTTGTTCATTTTTTAACATCACTTTTTAACAGAGCAAAGGTACAACTTCCCTCTGCTTTAAGATCTTACAAAGATCAGAAGTGACTTTGGCAGCTCAGGCCATAAGCCTTATAATGTTTAGTTTAGGCAGTGAACACAGCTCTGGACCAAGATACTGTTTGTAACTGTATAAAAAATGAGCTAACAAGTCATTCCATATTCTCCCGAGCAAGTATTCACTATGCACCCTGCTCTGCTCCCTTGCTACATGTTCTTCCCCTGAGTAAAATACAAACTAAAGCCCTGTAACATACAAAAAAGCATTAAAAATGAAAAAAGAACCCTAAAATTAAACACTAATTTAGGCATATAAGCATGGAGTAGCGGCAACTGCATTTTTTTTCCTCTTTTACTTACCCCAAGATTTGTCCACAAACTGAACTGCAGCTTTTTTAACTGAGTCTTTCTTGTTTGCAATGGAAAAAAATTCATTTGCTGTAATGAGATGAATATTAATTATGAAGATTAATACAGACAAATCCAGATGCAGATCTAAGGAAAACTGCCTACCACTTGTGCGGTTGGTGCCGGGGCCGTAGAGCTGACTGTGTATGAAGTCTTTTGCTGTTTGTTGGTGGAGGCCTGTTAAGTTCTCATCTTTCAAGTGCACAGCAATATAGTTTCCTTTTGACCTAGTTAGAAATGCAAATCCATGGCAAAGGTACAGAACACAACACAGTGTGTGCTTGTTAATATTTTGATACTTGAGCTGTCAGTACTGGTTTGATGATCAGCAAAGAGCTGAAGCAGCTTGCTTCAGCAAGCTTATAGTGGGAGTCATAAACTCTTAGATGAGACTAGTGCTACTTTCCCATACAAAATCATTGTGATGAGGGCAGAAGCACAGTGAAGAAGACTTAAGTCACACACACTTGTTTCAATTAGAGCAAGAGCAGGGCTAGCATCAAGTGAAAAACAGATCCTGGAGATCCAGCTGCAGGCTGCCTCCCTCAACCTCAGGCTGGAGGAAACAGCGCTGCAGCACTGAACTGATGCCCCACATCTGCTCCTGCTGTACCTGGTGCCTCCTGCTTTGCCTTTCTTGACCTGTCCTGGGATGCGGTCTTCACTCTGTTTTGCAGACCCCCCTTCAGGGTGTTTATCTAAGGAAAATTCAACAGAAGAAAAATATCCCAAAAACACAATCTAGAACTGTAAGAGGAACAGAAATGAAGCAACACAAGCTGTGAACGAGCATCCATCTTTAAGTCCAAAAGGCACTTTCCAGCTGCTCTGATTGGTAAAAACTAGCAGTGCTGCTCTCCAGGGAGGGCTGTTGAAGAGGAGAGCTTAAGTCTCAGGGGAGCCCTCCAAAAAGTAACAGTGTTTTGCTGTTCCTTGCCATCAGTCCCAAATCGATGGGATTCAACACAGGACAAAAAAATGAGTGCAATAGAACAGCCGTGCACTGCTGGAAATGGGGGGGTACCGTCCCACCTGTATTCTCTGCTAACTGAGCTATGGAAATGGAGCCTTCCGAGTACCTGGTGCAGCCGCGGGGCTCGGCTCTTCTGCTCTGCGAGGGAAGGGAAAAGCACGTTGCAGCCACAGCCCGGCTTTGCACAGCCAAGGGCCCCCAAAAAGCCACCGGTGGCCCCCTGCCTTCCATCCTTACCGAGCAAGCGGCGCGGCGGCCAGCTCCTGCAGCAGGGCCTCGGGCAGCAGCTTCCTTCTCTACGGAGAAACGGCGGTGAGGGCGCGGGGCCCGGCCTCTGCCGGGCTCGCGGAGGGCTGCGGGGCGACTGCGGTACCTTCTGCTCCGTGAACAGCTCCTGCCGCCGCCGCCGCTTCTCCTTCAGCAGCTCCCGGTGCCTGCGGGGGGGGAGGAGGAAGGGGGCGGGAGCCGTCGTGAGCGCAGCGCCGGGTGAGAGGGGGAGCGGAAAGGGGAGAGGGGACGCCGTACCTCCGAGCCGCCTCCCCCACCAGCTTCCTCTCGGCCTCGGCCTCCGCTCTCGCCGTGCCGAACGACAGCTCCTCGGGAGCCTCGTCATCCTCGGACGAGAGCGGCGCGGCGGCCGGGCCCGCGGGGACCGCCGCCTCTTCCTGCCGCCGCACCATGGCCACGCTCCTCAACCGGCCTCAGCGCGACCCGGAAGCGCTCCGCTAACTTCTGGAACCCGCCCGCCAACTTCCGGAAACGCTCCGCCGACTTCCGGCCTCGCCCCCTAATCGCCCAGCTGTTCGCGACCACCGCCCCCGGCCCTGGCAGTCAGACGCGGACACGGGAGCGGCCGGCTGCAGGCTTTATTGGCGCGATCAAGGCCCGCCGCCTCGCCCCGCTTCAGGCGATGATCTCGGACTCGTGCCGGGCCAGCGCAGGCGGCAGCGTGGTCCCGCAGGGGCCCTGGAAGTGGAACCTGGAAGGAGAGACCGTGTGAAGGGCGGGGAGAAGAAGGGGAAGAAATGGTGGGGGAGGTTCGCTTTTCTCTAGGCAGCGCAACCGCTCAGAACAGGACGGTGAAGATGGAGGGGTCAGACTGCGGAGCGGCCTTACCTGAACCTGTCTGTAGCAGGAGTGGCTTCCATGTTGAATTCCGCCACCGGCACTCCTCTGGAGGACACCTGGGGGGCGAACATGGCAGCAGGGTACACCACGGAGGAGGTTCCCACCTGCAAAGCCAGCAGCATAGGGTAAAGCAGGTAAAGACCTGACAGAAAGGAAAATACATCCAGAGCTGTGTTTTGTGTCGCTGTGGAGGGAGGTGGCATGCATCAGAATTTTGTCTGCTGCAATCTAAAGAAGCCTGTTTGCATTTCTGGGATTTTTGTTTTGTTTTTGTTTACATTTTTGTGGTTATAAACGACAAAATACAGGAAAAGAAGACAAAACATCCAATTGTATCAGTCAGTGATGCAGAACATACATGGCAAGTAAATAAATAACCCCACAGAAGCAGCTCGTGACGATGCCGACCTGCCATCCCACAAAGCAACACAAACGTCCTCACCACCAAGCAGAGGTCGCATAGTTCGAGTTCCTTCTCCACCTCTGTGAGAACATCTGGATCCAGGGCTTCACCAAACCACACAACGTGGGGACGAAGAAGGCCGTAACAGCCATCTTCCTCGCACCTATTGAGAAATTGCAGAGGGACAACGTTGTATTTCTGACATGAACACCTCCACCTGCACAGTGGCACAGCAGCTCTCATTTAGGATTGGACACGGCTTCCTTCTTTCTTTCACTGCTCACATTCACAGCGCTCCTCCTGCTCTCCTGAGCACAGGTTGTTGAGCAGTCATTCAATTCAGAATCTTAACTGCTGTGTCTTAATTCCTGAAACGCATCCAAGAACTTGATATGTGCTATGATTTTCACTGACTTCAACAGACACAGTCTAGCAGGTTTTTAAGAAGAAAGTGGCCTGGGCAGAAGCATCACAGCAGCCCCCCAGCAGCCTCGTTTCCTTAGGAACAAGATAAAAAAAAGCAGTAGCTCCTTGCACCTGCAGCTAGCCAAGCTAAAGCTTTAGCCACTACAAAAAGCACCCTGGCTTATTTAGAGCCTGCAGGAAACTTCTCCATGGCTGCACACCAGCACTGTATCACATGCTGACCACCAGTAGAAAAGCAGAGCAGTAGAAAAGTAACAGCTTACTGTGCAGTAGTTTCGTAGTGCAATTCTACTGCTCACTACCAAATCCACAAACTGTAGCATGTTTTGAGTTTGATGCTCAAGTACACAAACATGCAGTTCCTTTAGCACTGTGATAAACTTGTACACACTCCTACTGTCTGGTGCCTCCCAAGCACTAAGTTTAGATATGAACTCTGTTCCCAGGTGTTCTACTCCCATTGAATGTGTATGTGTCCTTCCAAAACTACAGGAACAGTCATGAAAGAATTGAGATAGATGAAATGCTAAAAAGCTAGCAGCAAAAAAAAAGAAGTGGATACGTACTGAGGAAGTTCTTCAACTGGAATTGTGGCATCTTCTGTTTCCGGATCTGGAGCCCTGAATTTACAAAATTGAAATACATATTCAAACATACAGATGAAGTGCATTTTACAGATGGCCAAAAACTTTGTATTTTCTCCAGTCAAGAATCTTTGCAACTTCAGTCAACTCTACTAAAGCCCCCCCCCTTAGCACACACAGGGCAGGCAGGCTTCTATACAGTATTATCCCAGAGCTAAGCAACAGCAATTAGCTTGTCAAAGTCCAACAAAGACACAATGAGTATTTACGAAGCTATCTAAAGATCTGGGATTAAAACTTTTAAGTGTAAGCACATGCCTGTCCTCCCCTTTTTTTTTCTTCCTTCAACAATGCAAGGAAAAAAAAAGAAAGATAACTAGAATGAGGCCAAAGGGCTCTTCTGCAACTTGAAAAGAAATCCTGAAAACTGATTTTCCTGCATTTCAAGACTTGTAATGAGAGTCTCACTGATGAGTTGAAGCACAAGAGCAACGTGGTGCTCATGAGATTCAGAACAGGAGAACCCAAGACCTGAATATTATGAAAGAAAAATGAAGTGCTTGGCTAGAACTGCTCTGTGCTCCTGTAACAGCTCCTTTCCTACTGAAGAGCAGACTGAGCAGAACATATTGGGAGTTTGCAAGGAGATGGATTTACCCTTTCCCAGCCAACGCCGGGCAGATCGGACTCTTGTAATTCGCAGTCACATTTCCACAGTTGGTGCATCGAGTTTTAAATAAGCTTCCTGAAAAGCAGAAAGAGGAAACGTTATGGATCAAGTAATTGCTCTAGGGCACGACTGTACAAGCAAATGGTTATGTTTATAAAGACAGCTTTTATTTGACTTGTGGGTTGACAGCTACATGAACACAAATTGGGTATTGAAACCTGCCATCATTACAGTTGAGATGTTATTTACAGAGTGCATCCACATGCTTGTTTAGCAACCAAACACAGCCAGGGTCAGAGTAAAGCACAGCACAAGCAGAGCCAGAAGCACCTTTACCTAAACGGCAACAGAGAACGGCAGCAGCTGTGCCTCTGAGCTATGCTTTACGACCTTCTACCTTATGACATAATTAATACACAGCCTCATAGCAGTTATTTCAGAGGAAAAGTCACTAAAAGTATTAGCAAATGAGATCATTGCTGCTTGTGGTTAGCCCTGCTTTGTTTTATGCAAGCTCCCCGACCCCAAGACGCACATCTCTGCACTTCCACAGAGCTAATACCATGCGCTGTGGAGACGCCCAACAGTTCAAATTGTTTAGATTTTGTGAAGAATGGAACTATACCCACGGCTTTATCACTGCATCCACAACTGCTAAACAACTTGTGTCAAGATCACAAATTAGTGGCCCCTGTGTAGCGCTCCTCTGGCACCTTGTTGGAGAGCAGGAGGGAATGCCATGAACTATAGGGAATGGGAGAGAAGTGCCACAGAGCACGGAAGAGAAGTGGAAGCATCACGTGTTTCTAGATCCTCTTTCCTCCTGTACTGAGGGGCTGCCGTGGGTGGGGCCACGAAGGAAAGGCCAGGACATGACAAATGGAAAGCATCAGGCTGGAAAGACCTCTCTTGCCCATATGCCTTTTGTTTGTGGTAATAGCAGTGTGATGCTGTCACACTGCTGAAACCCTGAATTCCACGCATTCAAGTGGCAAAACTGAGCAGGTGGGAATGGAGAACCAACTCCTATGCGCTGTCCACTACGTGCTGTCCAGATGACAAATAAAAGGAGGCTATGAAGTGTCCAAAACATCTTCCAAAAGGGAACAGGGTGACACTGTAAATAACCTCCTGTGAGTGATTATCGCTTTTAAGACAAGTTTCATTTGTTCTGCCTATCGTCCTGCTCTCTCCTCTCCCCAGTTTTGCTGTCCAGCAGCAGACAGGGAAGCAGATCCTTACCATGAATCTCCAGGAGGTGCTTTGTGCCCGCCTTCCTGTGCAGTTCATCGATATTCTGGGTGATGACCACCACGCTCCTGCCTTGCTTTCTCAGTCGCTTTTCACACTCAGCAATGGCGATGTGTGCAGCGTTGGGATGTTTGCTCAGCATGACCTCGCGGCGGTAATGATAGAATTCCCACACGCGAGAAGGGTTGCGTGCAAACGCCCCGGGAGTGGCCAACTCCTGAAAGAGATGCAACGCTTCATTCTGCTGATGGAAGTGCAGGAGAATCCCTTTTTCAGGTGAGGGCCAACAGCACACTGCCAGTCTGACAACAGGATAACCAGAAGTAGATTATTACAGCCAGATGCAGCTGACAGGAACACAGCTCAGTAGCCCATCTCTTATGAGGATGACAACTCAAAATAGCTTGTGGAATGAAGAGATAGCTTGTAACCAGTAGAAGTTCAGTGCAGTACAAAGGAAGATGAGATGTTTCAATGCACGCAATTTTTACCATTCAGGACTCATTTACAGAGCAGCCATAAAACTCAGCAGTGGGTGGATTTTCCCTTCGCTAGCAATTTCTTATGTGACTTAGTTTAACTGTAATGCTAACCAAATTACAGTCCCTGTCAAAACCAAAGCCTAACGTCACCTTTATACACCATCCTCAAGAACAACAAAAACAAAGAGAGCAGACAGGGCTGCGGTGTTTGGGTAAGAGTTACAGATGGTGACCTTGAAATGTGCAGTACCAGAGTCTCGAGGCACCTGCACTACAGTATTTTATTGCTCGCTACTGCACCACTGTACCTCAGAAATCAGGATTAAAAGAAAACCAGGTTCTATCTTTGCAACAGTCCTTTATTATTTTTGTAACATTATCCTAAGAGTTTAAACCAGGAAAGGCCTCGGGAGATACAAACACAGTGAGGGTGTCCAAAGAGGAGCGAGCAGTTGGGTGACCAGGCAGCAGAGCGGCACAGCAGAAAGACAGAGCTGTCTGCATACACATCAGCTTTCTGAAGGAGCTGATCAACCCAACAACAGAAAACTCTCACACACACATCCCTGGCTGACAGAAGAGCACAGCAGTGCCATGGTACATACCTGTGCTTGCCACTTTCTCCAAAAACCTCCGGCCCCTCTGAAGGTAGGAACGCCGCTCTCGGCGCTCACACCGGCTCCGGTAATGATGGCGATATGCTTTGCTTTGGCAAACACTTCTCGGAAATCAGCCATGTCTGAGTGTGGGACG